ATAAGGTGAGAAATTTTCAGTTAGTCAAGTTAAAGAATTTCTTAAACTGTATTTCGAGGAACTCTTTCTTTGATTTGGGAAAAAAAAAAAAAAAAAAAAAAAAAAAACTTCATATTTTTAAATGAAATTAACGAGATTTTACAGCATTTTTTGTTGATGTCATATACAGCAGGAATTCTCAACCGGGAGGGTGGGAAGACTTTCATTACTTCAGGGGGGAAGAAAGCGGTCAGCCTTTTCTTTAGGTGTTAAGTATTTAGTTTTAGTTTACGAATGCAAAAAAACTAGTTTTATTCAAATTTTGATATTTATCAACATTTACTATATTTTTTATTGTTTAATTTATAAAATACGTTAAAAAGATAATCTAAATCTTATCAAATATGTTTTTCGAGTTTTGGAAAGAGGGGATGATCTTCCGGCAATGGAGAAAGGGATGCACAAGGCAAATTGAGAACCACTGACCTCGAACTTATTTAATATAAATATTTAAAATGAACGGTTGAAAATTAATTCAAAAGATTAGAAGTATTGGTTTCTTTTTATTTACATGAAAAATTAATATGTAAGGTTTTTCCTAAGTTTATAACAGTTATTCATAAGTTAAAGCTTCTTTCCTATCTCTCCTAATTTCAGCTTACAGATCCTTACCAGAATGAGTTTTTAGAATCGCTTTTTAATGCAAATGAGAAGGAGTAGTATTTAAATCAAGTTCCACTGACTTCGAGAGAGAGAAAATCAAAGTTTCTGACTAGCGTGCGGGCGCCTTTTAGCCACGTCTTTCTAAACTGGTTCTACAGGACCCTTTATAGCTTCACTAGCTAATTCGATATTTAGGGGCCATCTACTTAGTACTATGTTAGCTTCGGCTAAATCTCTTTAGCTAGTCTTTAGTTAAGTTCTTATTTCTTGTATTTTAGAGTTTAAACCCAAGTGGAGGCTTTGTTGTACGTAGTGAGAAAGGGACCGTCTATACACTTTTAATTTGAGCAATAAAGGGTGATTAACCCTTCTTGAGTTTTACGTTTCTGTTTCTGGACTTAAGCGATAATTCGGTTAGCAATTCACTATATTCCTCAACACTTAGTTAATAGACAGTAGGGAGGAATACCACAAATATACTCGTTTGAAACACATCATTATGCCCCGCGAAGAGCTGCGCCAGGCTGTCGAAGTTTTACTACACTCGTACTAAAATAATACTCATACACGACTCAAGTTGCTAAGATAAATTTTTAAGTCTTACGTTATTTATGGAATGATATTATCCAGATGCAATTCAAATCCATCTATTTGTAATCCTTTTTTTCATCAGAAACTACTAAATCATATTTTATTCATATTATTACGAAAGTGTCCAGGCGCGGTAAGATAGCTTCCCCGCAAAGCAGTTTTAGGGTTGCCATAAAATCGCTAGGGACGGCAGGGTTGCCACATTTGGCGAAAATCGCTTATTTGGCGACGATATTGGTGATATGCCATGGACGGATGGAGAACCTTCTGGAACGAATTCTTACCGGTTTAGCCCAGAATGTTCTCGAACACAAGCCGAAAGCTATATAAACTCTGCTGGTACGCGGAGAGTAAGGGCGAGATAGTTAGTCTCGATTTAGTCCGTGCGGAGTCGATCGAATTGACAGCCGGGCAGCGAGTACCGAGTGGGTCATCGAGTGCATCGAAGAGTCTCTTAGTGCATCGCTGTTAGTGCATCGTCGTTCGAGTGTGTTAAGCTCCGGCAACCACTGAACCGAAGAGTCAGGAGCTGTGCTCTGTTGCTTTGCAGTGAAGCTGCCTCCACCGTTATAGCCGGAGAACCTGAAGGGCTGTGTAGCTAATTGTTCCAGCGAGTGTATAGTAGACCTTCGACGACTGTAAAACGTGACTTTGGAGCTCTCCTGATTAATATTGGTAAATAAAGTGTGTTTCGATATTCCATCAAGTGCTGTCGTCGTTATTCATCCCAAATCCACACGAACCCAGTACGAACGTGAAGGAAGAAAATAACGTAACAATATCATATCTTATTCATACTCATTCATACTCAACAGCATTCTCATCGTAATTTTAAATTCTGATTTTCTAGATTTTATAATCTATTCTGTTATAAAGCAAATTTAGTAACCGTTTCGTCATTTGACCGCCATAATCAACAGCATTCTCATCGTAATTTTAAATTCTGATTTTCTAGATTTTATAATCTATTCTGTTATAAAGCAAATTTAGTAACCGTTTCGTTCTTCCTTTCAGCTAACTCTTTCTGATTAATATACGGCTTTACGGGAGGGATTTCATCTCATTCATTTCCAAAATATTTACAGAATTATTAATTTTTACCGAGGCGGTCAAATGACGAATGACTAAATTAGGAATCTCCTGAAAGATTATGATTTCTGGTGGAACTAGTTGAACCAAACAAGTGGATTCGTATGATTATTTTATTTAAGGGGAAAAAATCATTCTGATACAAAATTTTTCTTTCCGTCAAATACAGGATTAAAAAATAGTCTCAATGTTCAGTGAAATTTCATCATTTTCATTTTACTCATCACATGCAGACGTTATCGCATAGTAGGCCATTTTTTTACTTCTTTGTACGAAGGAAAGGAAGTATTGTAATCTCAAAAAATTTCGGTTATTAGGTTCAACGAAAATATCCATTTGACCGTTTTCGAATCTATTCTGACTATTTTTTTGCGTGACGTCTGTAAGTACGGAAAGACTAAAGGATTCCTTATTTCAAAACGAATTGTAAAATAGATAGAAAATAGATTTTTTCATGACGTCTGTACGTACGGATATATGAATGAATCTCGCATAAATGAAAAACGATTAGAACGTTGAAATTTTGTATATGGAATTGCTATAACATCTAACAGTGCTATAATATAATCTACTTTGATTTCAGTATTTTTTGCGTGACGTCTGCGAGTATGGGCAGATAAAGAATTTATTCCAAAATGGATTGTATAATAGAGAGAAAATGGATTTTTTTCGTGACGTTTGTACGTACGTATCTATGTACCTCGCATAACTCAAAAACGATTTATACCCACACCCCTCACCCGGCCTTTATTTTCGCAATCCTTTGTCGTAATAATATACTATCAATTACAGAAATGTTTTAAATAATGAAAATATTGATGTTTTGACAATCTCAAATCACACAAAATATTTTGGACAAATAACGAAATCTAACTTTTAATGTGGTCTCCCGATTCCAATGCTTATATTTGAGAACGTTTTATACCCTTTATCAAAAAATAAAATTATAAGAAGATAGCCTCATCTATAACAAAAATTGACCGACATATTTAGTTTCAAAATTTGCAGTTTTTGGTATCATTTTCAACTTGCCTTGATGGATCGGTTTATTAAGGGGACGGTGGAATTTAAAATTTAGTTTTTTATGTTTTCAACAAGAAATTTTATACACCTACGTATTATTTTAATTATTTTAAATTGAAATTTTTAAAACAAATAATTAATTATTTTAATTAAAGATTTAAAAATGCTCCTTGCGCACCGATGTTCAATATTTTTTCCTAATTTTTCCTTTAAGTTAGTTATAAAGACTCGACAAAAGTTTTAGTGAATCCATTATTGAATATTACGGATTAGAAATTTTTAAAAAGGATGTTTGTGAACTTAAGCCCAGTTTTCGGAAAAATGTCACCCTTTGTTTAACATTATCACAAGTTTAAACTTCTTAATAACCTCATATCCAAAAATGCGTACTTAGATCTACTGTAACATATAACAAGATAGTTTTTTCCAAATATCATTCATTTTTAACTAAAAATGAGACGCATGGAGCATTTTCAAGAGATACGAATTGCGAAAAATTTTGTTTTGAGAAAACCGAATTTAAAAGATTTTCTTCAAACTCTTTAATACATGGTCATGAGAAAGAGCAAATTAACTTTAAATGTGAATATGTAGACACTAGATAACATTTTCGTATCATTTAACTATTTTCAATACATAATATTAAATATGAGAAAAATAAACATATCGCAAATTGGTATGTGATTCGAAGTTAGAGGTAGAAACAATTTATGCATTATATCAAATGAAACTTTTAAAATTCACTCGCATCCTATGTTTTACCTTCATTTGTTACATTTACATTATCTTTTAATGCTTTACAATATTTTTTACAATTTCTGTTTTTTCCAAGCAGGTAAACTCCTCCTTTTGCTTTGGTTCGAGCGACGTTGATCACGCTTTTTTGCAACGAGTAGGGAAAACGAGTTGTTTCTTCCTGTTCTACGCATATAGCATTCACACAACCAAAGTTAAATTCATTAATAGTTGTCAATACTGACATTTCTAGCCTTTTTTTTTAGAAATAAACACTTCTTTTGAGCAAATATATAAATTATTACATCAATAAATAACTGTTGAAATACATTTTTTTAAACATTTTCTCCAAAATTTAAAGGGCAAAGTTTACGTTGTTTATACATTTGAAATGCTTGTAACTTCTTTAAAACTTAGAATATTTGAACTCGGTTTTTTGCGTACGATAAAGTTTTGTATATGGAATATTATGGCAGTAAAAAAAGCAATTTCAATATTTTGGTTAATTTTTAGCTATTTTAAAGTTCACCGTCCCCTTAACTTAGAACAACTCGAGGAAATAAGTTTAAATGAAATGCAGCCAAAAATGTATATAATGTAATAGGCCGTATAGGGAAGTCATGTAGTGTTCATATCAGATTTTTTTTTTTTGGGGGGGGGGAAGAATCAACACCCTACCTACAGATACTTAAAAACTGGAAAATAACACGAAGAAAGAAAAGTGGTTAAAACTTGGCAACACCAGCTTTGCTTCGAAACACGTGGACGTAAACAATGTAATATGGGGCACTTCGTATAAATAGCTTGAGGACACCTCTCTTCAACGATCGACACCGGCAAGGGGAGTTTTCGTGTGCTCCACAACTTTTGGCACGCATCGCCGGATGAGGGATGTGTAACGAAAATAGAGTGGTACTCACCTCCTCCAGTATTCGAGGAATGCCTCACAGCCCACAGACGACTTCTTGTCTCCCCGGGCCGCGAGGAACAATGGAAGTTTCCAATATAAAGGAAGTCCGCAGGCCTGAAACGAATACAGCAATATTTCAGATACATGAATATATTGTTCAAGAATATTAAAAACTGAAGTATCGAAAGCTGAAAACCATATCATTGTGGTGCTATTCCGTGGAAAAAAAATTATAAACACTTTTTTATGCTAAGGACAACACTATTCTACAGCTTGGCTAAAACGTTTTACACTAGGTGCATCCACTCGCCTCTTTCAAGTGTCATACTTTTTATCGTAATTCTAAAACTAAAATTCTGTTTTGCAAAAGGTTTTGAATTCTTTCAATGATCTTCAAAGACAGATATTACTTATTTTCTTTGGAGCCATTTTTTTAATGAGTTTAATCAATACCGAAAATAAATATTTACATGAGGTTAAAGGATTTTTGCATAAAGCTAAAGGCTTAATTCTTTAAAATATGTTTTTAAAACTGTGGCGGCCGTGTGGTAAAGTCGCTGAACACTGGTAGTTCGATCCGGGGCTCGAATCCCGCGAACGGGCTGGTTGCATGGGTGTTTTCGTGGTTTCACTCTTGACTAAGTGAAGAGTTTTAGTTAAAAGTATCCAAAATTCGAATTTGTACGCATTTTTCTTTTAAGAAACTTCCAATTCGTATACTACTTCTTGTATTGCTAGGGATCGTTTACAAGAAAAAGAAATCAGTTTTAGCTCCTTTTACGTGTAAAAAATTGAAACCCAAACATTTTTGCCAATTTTTTGTGCTTTTCTAATGTAAAAAGTAACTTTAAGATTATAAATCTGTAAGATTATAATCTAAGACTATAAGATTATAAATCTGCGTCTAGAAATTGCCTTTTGCAGGCCTTTGAACATAATAAAAAAATTATACTTATGCTTATAAGTCATAATAATAATTTTATAATCTAAAACTATATCTATCATTTATCCGTTTATTTATTTATCTTAAGCTTGGTTCATTCGATTCCGAAAAACTGCTTGAAAATTCGGTATTTTCTTACTTTGCATATTGAAGGTTTCACTACTGCTCGTCAAGCCCTTGAGTGACAGAGTGGATAAGACCGCTGCATACTGGGAATTTGATTCACGTCTGATCCCACGCAAATGTGCTGACTGCATGGTTAGTTTTTTGTGGATTGCCTTATGTGTAGCGTGTATACGAGCTAGTTTTCCTTAGAAAATCATCCATGGAAGCATCCGTCCTCTTAGGCAGATAGCCCTCAAGTGCTTTGCCATAATCAAATAAACTTAATCAAAACTGTGCCACAATTCATGCACATTATATGTTTATTATCAAAAGAAGACTACTCGAAGTATAATGTATAACTAGATTTATAACACACATTATGGTGGTGAGGCTCAAGGTAAGAGAATATGATGCCCTGAATGAGAATTACTGTATAACTGATAACAGCAAGTACATTTAATATACTTCATACTATCCTGATAAATATTCATAGCTTCTATTCGAGGTTCTGATTCATAGCTTCTATATGAGGTTGCACGATAACATTATGTTGGACTATTAAATATTTGTATCACATTTATAAGTAATGATCGTTGGTTGTTGAAGTGAAAGAAATTTATGCTGAGAATCATTAAAGAACTTGAGCTAGCATATAAATACAATAAATTCAAGTTTGATAAACTATATCTGTAGAAGTAAGTTTTCGATGGTAAAGAATTTTCAGGTTTCTGCTGCCTTGCGCAACAGTTTAGTGGCACTTGGCGCACAAGTACAAGGACACTTGCGCACAAGAAACACTAATTGCCAGATTAGTAATAGTAGTTTGTATAGTTCAGTGACACTTTTGCACAAAATCACGTCTTCGTATGATCTCCAAAGACACATAGATTGGAAGACGTCTTCCTAATTATCTTTCGAACAGAGACTTGTATATGAAAGATAATTTGCTTTACAAAATTTTAAGCTACTGGACTGCACAGATATAGATTTAACAAAATATTTATATTATATATCTGTTAAAGTGTAAAGAATGATAAATAGCTGAGGAGAGAGGTATCTTTAAAATATTAAAAAATCCCCAAAATGTATAATGCATTTTAAAGCTCAGTATCTTTACAACTGGCTTATGAGCGTGAAATTTTGTATATACTTATTTCGTTTACTTTTTCTGTATATTTATTTTGTATACTTATTTTGTATACCTATTTTGTATATTTATTTTGTATATTTATTTTGTATACTTATTTTGTATATTTTATTTTGTATACTTTTTTTGCATATTTATTTTGTATACTTATTTTGTATACTTATTTTGTATGCTTATTTCGTATACTTTTTTGTATATTTATTTCGTATATTTTTTTTGTATATTTATTTTGTATACTTATTTTATTTATTTTGTATTTTGTATACTTTATTTGTATATTTATTTTGTATACTTATTCTGTATGCTTATTTTATATACTTATTTCGTATACTTTTTTTGTATACTTATTTCGTATATTATTTTGTATTACTATTTTGTATATTTATTTTGTATACTTATTTTGTATATTTATTTTGTATAGTTATTTTGTATACTTATTTGTTATATTTGTACACTTATTTTACTTTATTCATAACGCATTTGCAACTTTTATTTTATATCCCAAATATTAAAATAGTTTACATAAGATACTTTTTTTTTCCTAATCATCCACATAATACTGTAATATGACGCGCGGCAATATTATAAACAAATCAGTATTTTTTGCTAATTTTTTTTTTCAAATCGGAAAAATAATTTAAATTTAAAATGGCCCACGTTAAAAATCATAAAATTATATTTTCTTTAAAAAAATAAGGTTTCATTTACTTATTTAATTTACTTTCGTAGCTACAAAAACCACTATTTTTTTTAACATAATTAAAGATAACTTCTGAAATTTTTAGGCGAGAGGCATAATAGTTGCTTTTTTAGAAATTAAGACTTCAGGTGTAGAACTTTCACTTACGGTTTATACATTTGGTCAAAATTTTTTTGAAATTCCAGAAAGAGGTTTCGGAGAAATCAGGCCCATAAGAAAGAAGATTATATTAATTTAAAAGTCAAACAACAAAAATCAGCGTTATATTTTTAAATTTTGACAGTGAAATTTTGCGAATATAACGCTGATTTTTGTTGTTTGACTTCTAAATTAATATTCGTTCGGCGTGTTATTTTAACCTAAATTAATATGATTATAGTTATCAGAAACCTAGAGAAGGAATGGACAGTGCTCAGACAGTATCAGAGAAGGAATGGACGGTACTTAAGTTAAATCATGTCAATAACTCATTACGGTGACTGATTATTTCTAATGGGCTGTGCGGATATATCAATTACTGTAGGTCATCAAGTATTTCTCCCATTAGCATGTCTTTGTGGTGTAGTGGTCAGCACACTCGGCGCGTGTTCGGGAGGTTCGTGGTTTCAATCCCGGCGAGAGCACTGCTCACTTTTCATCTCTCCTACTTAAAAAAAAAAAAAAAAAAAAAAAAAAAAAAAAAAAAAAACTGATGTCTCTACAGTGGCATCCGAACTAAAAAAGGTGGTGGGTGATGATTCTCCACCACCAGAATTTGTCGATTGGCTATCCTAATCCCCAGTCGCCCTTTAAAACGAGGAATATATAAGGTATTTCTTCCGCCTTCTTAGTGTGCCTTTGTGGTGTAGTGGTCAGCACACTCGGCGCGTATTATTGTGTTTGGACGCTGTCTGAATTGCTTGTGTTTGAGTAGAACCTCTAATTTTAATTGTAAAAGTTGTTCTTTAAATTGTTTTAACTATATTTATGCTTTATATTTTCTATATTTTGCAATTTTTAATAAAAATATTTTGAGGTTTCTTGTACTTTTGTTTTGTCGCGAAGTGAGAACTGAATTAATTGAATGAGAAATATATCTCTAATGAAATTCCAGGAAATAAGTTTAAATGAAATGCAGGCAAAAATACGTGTAATTTAATATTGCGTACAAGGAAGTCATGTGGTGTACGCATTAGATTTTTTATACTTGCTCTCATTTTCCTAAACTAAGCACACTGCTGTGCTGATTAGAAATTTTTCTAGCAACTCTATTTAGAAAATAATAAACAGTTTGTGTGTTTTTCAATAATGTGTGTTTTAAATTACATATTTTTTTCTAAAGCAGGCAAAGCTCTATTAACATTTTTCAGGCTTTCAAAACATCACTAAAAACTTCAGTGATAACATTTTTAATAAATTTTTCTTGATTTAACTAGTACAACACATTAAAGGAGCTTTTACAGGCATTAATGACATATAAAAGGTTTCTCATACCTTCGTGATAATTCCAAATTCCTCGCGAGATGCTTTGCCATCGTTTAGTCCGGCGAAGACAGCAGCCACTTTCTTCAGGTGAACCTCAATCTCTGCCTGGGTGAGGGGCTTACCATCTGGGAAGTAGAAACGTGGTATGCTGGCATTGTCCCGCTTACCAGATTTCACTGCCCTACGCAAAGAACTGATTCTAGGAGATGTTGGGGCAACACTCTCTTTGTCCTTAACTGATCCTCCATGGTGTGTCTGTAAATTAAAACATCTGTATAAATATCAATGCTTTTCACCCGCATGTTTCGGTAAAGAATATCAAAATTGTTCCATTCATTAAAGTTGGATTTCGCTGAAGTTCTCTTTTTCACGAAGCATGCCTTCGTGGTGTAGTGGTCAGCACGCTCGGCGCGTATTCGAGAGGTCCGTGATTCTAGTCTCGGCGAGGGCACTGCTCATTTTGCACAGCTCCTGCTTCAAACTAACCTAATGTCTCTACAGTGACGCCTGAACTAAAAAAAAAGGTGGTGGATGATGATTCTCCACCACCAGGATTTGGCGATTGGGTCCCCTTATCACCAGCTGCCCTTTAAAAGGGGGTATTTCTCCCGCCTTCTTAGCATGAATTCGGATCGTAGTGGTCAGCACACTCGGCGCGTATTCGAAAGGTCTGTGGTTGCAATCCCGGCTCTACAAACCAAAGAGCATTGCCACATAGTGTGCCCATTTTAGTCTTTACAAGATTCATAACTCTAAGGATTGTTCGACTGTAAACATTCTTACGGCAGATGGGTGGCGGTCAGGATCTTAAAGCTATGCCAAATATTATTGCACTTTGATTTATAGGTTTAAAGATAAAGGGTTGTTCATGTATTTAAAAGCATACGTTATATGATACAAGCTTCAGAAGGAAGAAGTGGCAGGAGCCGTATTTCAGCTACAACAGTGTATTGTAACATTTTGTTTTTCCTTCACATTTGCGCAGATAACTTATAAATTGCCAATCTTCCAAACTTCGGTAAATTGCATCACGCTTTTACAAAGATATTTTATCATGCCTTTCATAACTATTTTAATCTAGAAATTTAATAGTTGTTTTTCAGTTGCAAAGTAATTTAGCAAAATATTACCAATCCATAAACGCGATGTCCTGCTCTTAGCGATATGACAATTGGTCAATTAGGTTGTTTAATATACGCCGCGCGCTAATTGGGTAACATACTCCAAGGTTTAACTGGGTGATGTGCTCTTGAAGTTGATAACTGTTATAACAAGTTTCCTTATCACTATCGTTAAAACAATCATGATAAGACAACTGACTTAAGTTGTTTTTATTTGGAAGTTTTATGCTAACGCAGTATGGCTTAAAAAGCAGAAGGATATAATAGCAGTTTAATAAATTTTCATTTTCTTGCACCCATCGTAGGATTTTATTTTAATTTAAACGAATCAGAAAAAAATTTTAGTTTTAAATCCTGCCATTCTTTTACTTCTGAGGCAAGTTTACTGTTTCCAGAAAAAGTAAATGAATAAAAAAAGACAGTATAGAATAAAGAAATTAATTAATGTAATCCAAACATTCTCGAACAGAAGATTATTTCTTGGAAGTTAGTGTGGTAAGGTACCGAAATTAAGAATTATTCTCTTCAGTACATGACATAACATACTACCCAAACCTGACTAATTTTACATCTATTTTTATGGTTACTGACCGAAACTAGTATCAAATAGTAAAATTTTCATAAATTTGATTATTTTCGGATATTAGTGGCAATTCCCAAATCGCAATAAAACACTTTCCCAAATCCCAATAAAACACTTTCCCAAATCCCAATAAAACACTTTTTCCAAATCCCAATAAAACACTTTCCCAAATCCCAATAAAACACTTTCCCAAATCGCACTAAAGCACGTAGCAATTTTGCTGTTTCTACCGTTTACTTAATGTTTTTACTTCTGAGGCCAAAAAAACAGCAAAATATTATTTTTCCTCGACGACAGCCCTGTTTATGCTGGCCCTGATTATATGAAAGACCTTAAATTAAAAGACCGTAAATGGGACTTTTACCAGCATATATATACAGACTGTCTCAGTATCACGTTTAGAATTTGTAGCACGAGTAGGGCGCATCCCGGACATTCGGTATCATTGCAGCGTCGGAAATGCTTTCCTGACGCGTTGGTGTACACAGAAACAACGTAAATTAAAAGACGCCAGGTTTAAGTTAATATTCGTTTTAATAATAAACTTACATGAACAAAAGTAACATAAGTCAAACATAGTGTTCGAAGTTTCGTCCACCGACTTCAATACACGCCTCACATCTACAGTGCATGGAATTTCGAATACTCTGGGAATATTCCAGACACAACTCGAATTTCCACTGCAGTTACTGCGATTCGTGCTACTATCTTCTCCGTGCTACTATCTATTCGTGCTTCTACTTCTTGTCAACGGGGGTGTCCATAAACCAATGTGTTTATATGACTCCATAAAAAGAAACCAAGACATGATAGGTCCGGTGATCGAACAGTCAAAGCACTGGACCACCACGTCCATCTACTGATGTCTGTCCATCTACGTCGTCTAGGTGGGTACGAACGTTATGGCTGAAATGGGCAGGAGCCCCATCATGTTGAAACCCCATTGTCTGTCGCATCCAAGCAGAAATCCGTACGTCATCTAAAAGTTGTGGCATGACTTGCTGCAGAAACTTCAAGTAGTTACAATCGATTAGACGAAATGGCAATAGGTAAAATCCGATGAGGTTTTTTTCTCTGCCGTCCAACAAAATTAACGGAAAACCGACTCTGCGCTGCAAGACGTCGTGTTGCATGAGGGTTCTCTACCGCCCACAGATGGGCGTTATGTGCGTTAAATATGCCTTCCCTTGTGAAGGATGCCTCATCGATGAACAACACATTAGCAGGCGAAAGGTGAACTGTAGCACACTTTTCAAGATACCGTTGTGCAAAAGCAATATGGGAGGTGCATAATCGCTGGATGAAGTGCCTGGATACGTTGCACATGATAGGGATGCATGCATTTTGTTTTCTTCGAGAAGCGATGCGGGAATGGGAAACTCCGAATGCGTGCGCTACACTTCGCGTACTCAAACTTGAAGTCTCCTGTACCATCTCTTCGATGTCCAGGTCCGTGCTGATCGTGCCCGATTCATGACAGCTCTTTGAAAGGAACCTATTACAGCTAACCTCCGGCGCAGCCTTGAAAATAAATTATGGTTGGGTGTACGCCTCATAGGATATCATTCCGCATATAAGCGCTGTGCAGCTTGCCTATATACCAAATGCATGTCAGCTAACTCTGCGTTTGTGTAATTATTCATCCTATCTGCGTCCTTGTGCGAAACGAAGATTCCCAGCAAGAAACTGTTCCGCAATGCCATCTACCGCGCCCGAAAAGTACAAACCCTGCGCTGCTATATGATTCCGAGTCGTGGGGTGCACCCTACCTCTCCTAGAAGTTTTAATGCGTGGTACTGAGATACCCTGTATAAACGAAATACAGCTAATGGATCTGGGCGCCATTAGATCAAGTGCAGGTCAGTTGTAGCAAAATTTCAAAGCAAAAAGTTGTTAACATAAAAATAATCAGCAAATGACACCTAAAAGTTAATGCTCCGTAAGCTGTGGTACTTATTTGCAAATTTGGAATGCTATAAGCAGATTGAAGATTAAACATTTAAACACTGTTTTCAGGTTTGCCTATTAGCAATTTAAAATAGAAATTTGAATTATTAAATAAGGATTATCTGATACATTAAAAATAGAACACCTGCATTTCTTCGAATTTTTCTGTAATTGTTTCTTCTCCCGAAGTACACAGCGATCTGTTTTCACTTAAAAAACACCAGAGAATTGTGGAGATTCGGCTTCGTGCAACCTTCGGCAACAGCGGCTATCTAGAAAACGCATTTCCTCGTTGTTCCCTTAACCCTTTAACTGTCAAGTTATTTTGATGATTTGGGTACACAAATTGTCAAATTTTTTTAATCTCGGGGCATGAAAATTAAAAGGTTAAGAAAATTTTCTGCTAAATTCTGTATTAGTGCCAAAATTTTACTGTAGTATCTTCCATTGCACGCAAATTCAATCACCCTTCCAGCACACGCGCTTGGCAATTTTACATGAGCACGCACGCGTCATATTTTTTACAACATCCGTTATTTTACCGTTTTTTGGCACGAAAAACCACAGAAATGACTGAATATTGATAATAAATTTGTTAAGAAATAAAATATTAATCTTATTATTGCAAAATTCAAATGATATCACATTCAAATATAAGTAATTATTTTTAAGTTCTTATGTTAGTGAGATGGAAATGCAATGACGTATTTCATTATAGAAAATTTAAATTTATTGTTTAATAATTATATTTTAAAATCGAAGTAATTTTAATATTCATCAAAGACAAGTATAGACAATAAAAAAGGAAAACACCTTGGTAGGAAAAAAAGCAAGTTTAGCATTACTTACTTCTGCAAGGAAATTTACTTCTTACAGGTTATAAAAAAACACTAACTTTAATGTTTTTATTTATTTCTAAAAAATAGAAATAAAAGAAAATAATGGAAAGAAAATAAGGAATGGAAATCGCAATTCTTCTCCCATCCCAAGGTTTCCTTGTCTTCCTTTTCTTCATGAGATAATTCTTGAAGAATCCGAGCAAAATCAGCTGGTTGCAAATATTTTTTTTTGCCATGAAAATCGATATAAAATTTACAGAGCCAAATGTATTCAAATTAAAATAATACACGGCAATAAATAACACAAAATTACAAAATAAATGAGAAGAAAAATATTTTCCGAATTTTAAAACACGACCACACGCGTGTCGTAACTTTTATGAAAAAGCTGCCACGTAGCACAAAAGCCCAGTTAAAAAAAAAGTCAAACGACTTCCTGTTGGCACAATCCATGATGTGGGTAAGGTTAGAAAGGAGGAAAAGAAATTACCTTTAGGCGTCTCAGCTTCTATATTCTAAAAATGTGCATTAAAAATGAATTTGTCGTAAATTTTGCGCATACGCGCGTGCTGGAAGGTTAAGGCAAAAAATATCACGCTTTGTGTATAAAACCCGTTGGAACTTGGAATAAAAAAAAACACAACGCATTAAAAAATGGCGGCGTTGCTTGACTGAAACGATTGTTATGGGCGTGGTTGCCGGAAGAAAGGTTATGCGCATGATTGCCAGAGTTTGGCACTTTATGAAAATTTGGCTACTTAAAATGGTGGCGATAGTACATAGGTACACAAAAGACCTAAATATTTAAGTCATAGATAGATACAAAAATAAAGATTAGAATATTTAAGTGTTTTTAAAATTAGAGTACTTATATATGCTTCTATTTGTATATTACTTAGCTGTGAAATAATTTCAATGCCGTATTACTACCACGTGGTTCGAAAATTATAATACGCAAATAGTGAGCACTGTAATATGACACTCAATCGTTTTCTAAATGTAACGAAACCTTTTGATTGTGATTCTTCTATGCACATTTCAAGGAATTCAAGGATTATCCAATTTACAGTTTGTTTTACGGATCTCTTTAAATGCTTAAACGTTTGTGAAATAAGAAACTGCTAAGATCTCTATTTAAGCATGCGAGAGAAAAAAGCAGGCAAAAGAGAACAGAAAAAAAAAAAAAAAAAAAATCACACTGCAAACCATGCATTAAAAGTGAAAGAAATAATAGAAAAAAGAAAGAAAAAGAATATATTCTCAAAGAAAAGAGAGAAAAAGAAAGGAGCAAGGGGTACTGACCACGTTTACGTTCTTGTCAGAATCCGCCACCACTTCCCAAAACTATAAAAGAAAAGCAAAACACAGCAGCAGTCAGTTAAAGCGAACGCCACACAAAAACACATCAGGCTGTAAGAACATATAAATAAAATAATAGCAGTCCATGCGGCACACTGCAAAATGCAACGCATCCTCATCAAAAGTCCATTACAGTTGGCCATGCAGTTCAGTTATCTGGTTCAGAATGGGTTAAATTTAAATGAATGCTCTTAATGGTTGAAGTCTTCATTCGCTGTATCTCTCAATTCTTTATTGTTATTATCGGGATTAAATTTATTACATAAATTAAAAGTTGATGGATTAATTGTGATGCACCATACATAAGTAATAAACGATTTGTTTTTTGGCTGAACATTAAATCACTTATAGATTCGCAAGCTAAATACAAGAGCTCGCTAAGCTAGTGATGAATTAAATGAAGTTTCAAAAACGAGAGGATTTTTAGTTCCAAAGGGGCAATTTGTCCAGGGGAACTACTAATTCCGTTTCACACCATTTTCACCAAAACCATTTTGCTTTGAAATGTCGGTTCACTTTTGAAATTGTTGACACCAAATATTAGAGCCCTGTATTATATTCAAAGAAATTCAATAATGAAGAATCTGCATAAATGTATATGTGTTTCATAGCACTGTGATAAAACAACGCTACTTAGAGCCATCAAATTTTGGATAGCGTGCGTTTCACCGTCGTCTGGAAGCCTAAATCCGGAATCTGGAATTTGCTTTATTATCTATTTCATATTTTGTAAAACTTTAACGAATTTTTGATTAACAAACTCAACGATTTAAAAGAGAGCAATGGCAACACTGTACGAAAAAAAAAATTATCTCCAGGGCACAAGACTGTGCATCCGAAATTCTAAAGATATGCTCATTTTAAAGTTATTTTGCAATATTGCTGTTGAACATGATTTTATGGTTTAAGTGCAAAGAACATGATATTTAGTAAATAAAGGTAACAAACGAAACATTAAATTATAAAAATAAATAAAAAATAAAATTTGAAAGCTCTCGGATTTTACATTACACCCAAAGGCGTTTTTTTTTAATGTTTTGTGTGCTACCTTATTAATATCATGCTCTTTCCACTCAAACTATGAAATTCAATTCAACAGCAATATCGCATGAGCATATCTTTTTAGAATTTCCGATACACACTCTCGCGCTCTGAAGATAATAAAAACAAAATCCCCCCCCCCGTACAGTATTATCATTGCTCGCCTTGAAATCGTTAAGTTTGTTAATCAAAATTTGTTAAAGTGCTACCAAATATGAAAACGGATAATAAAACAAATTCCAAATTAGGGCTTCCAGATACCCATATTCGGTGGGGAGATTACGTTATTCAAAATTTGTTGGCTCTAGGTACCGTTGTTTTACCACAATGCGAGAAACATATATACATTTATGCAGATTCTTCATTATTTAGTTTCTTTAAATATAACACAGGGCGATAATATTTGGTGGCAACAGTTTGAAAGTGAATCGTCGCAAAAAGCCAAAACGAAATTATTAGCCTTTCTCAGCTAACGCTCCTTTGGGCTAAAAATTATAAATAATAAAATATAATCAACCAAGTAATAAAAAGCAAAAGTAAATGTTAAAAAATTGTAAATATACTTTCCGCACATAAGCTATTTTTTATAAATACCGTAAACCTTAGCCAAACGCAGATTTGCAGAATATAATTTCGCATTAACGTGTTGTATCTCAGTTGGTTCTATTTCATTTGCAAAAGGCTAGAATCCCATTTATTCGGAAGTAAGATTAATTTATCAGCCCTGGTTTAGAGAATTCATATGGAGCAAGTCTAAA